AAAATATTCCATAAAATCACAGTGTAAACAGATCTGCTGTCACTCAGGCTTTGTTATGGAGCACTGGCAGAGCAGATTTAGCATTAATCTTAAGGGGCCTAGGATTTTCAGAATGGCAAGTAAGCACTGGCTTCGACTTCAGGTCACTAGCTGCATTTGTCCCTAAAAAATTAGTCCACTTCTTTGTTGAAGCTTTGAAACATTGCTTTAGTCTATCTAGTTATGGAAAATGTTATGATTCCTTAAAAAAAAAGAAAGAAAATGTTAATGTCATATGGACCAGCAATACCACTGCCATATATTCACCCAGAGTTAAAAAAAACAACGTGAAAAGATTCATATATCACAATGTTCATAGTAGCACATTTTCAATAAGACATGGAATCAACCTAAATGCCCATCAGCAGACCACAAGATAAAGAAATTGTGGGAAACAGACTCAATGGAATACTCCTCAGTTATTAAAAACATTTAAACTGTTCCTTTTGGGACAAGATGGATGAAATCTAAGGTGATTTTGCTACATAAAATATGACAGAAAAGAAAAACAATAGCCACATGCATGTGGAACTTAGCCAACTGTTTGGTGGAAGATGTCAGACTTCAACTAATCCAGGCTTTCTAGATGCCTTCTTTACCTCCTCACTAAGCTTAATCATTTCCAGCCTTTGATTTAAAAGAGATATAATTATTCCTTTAAGCTGAACATCTAGAAGTCACCCTAGGTCAATAATTGGCCTAATTTTAATATTGTTGTGCTTCAGAAAACAGGGGCACTGAAGGGAGGGAGAGAAACAGGGGTATCAACCAGCTAGTGGAGCAGGCAAAAGACCTACTTTGTAAATTTTGTTCACCTTCTTTTCTGGGCATTGCTCATGGCACCCCCATAAAATTACAAGAGTCACATCACTGATCACTGATCACAGATCAACATATCAGACAGAATAACAGAAATTTGAAGTTGTGTGAGAATGACCAAACCGTGACTTAGAGTCAGGACGAGATCATATGCTGTTGAAAAATGCTGCTGGTAGACTTGTTTGAACAATATTGCAAAAAAATGTTGGCATGAGGTAAATATTTGCAAGTATGACATTACAGAAATTACCATGTAAATAATAAAATTCATATGTATCAAATACCTGAAAATGTAAAAATCGTTACTAATAATGGTATGTAAAATGTATCAATGGTATAATTAGTGAAATCAAATGTGACATATTTTAGATAGAACAAAAATAATATGATATGAATTATTTAATGTAAGATGATATCTCAGAATGGTGGCATGTGTGTGCTAATTTTACCTTGTGATTTGTATTTGAGAATTAAAATGACATATTATGTGCAGAAAACCTCATCATGGTGTGTGACATCTGTTAGACATTTAACAAAGATGGGTATTAGCTATATAATATGTAAGCTATTCCCATTAGGGAAATAACTCTAGACCTCAGTATTTCCCAACTGCAGAATTTTAACAAAAGTATATCAATGAAAGGGAAAAGTGCTTTACTTTTATCACTTCTGAATGGTAAAATGTAAGCCTGTCTACTTGAAAAGAGAAAAGGAAAATTGTGTGATAAAAGCAAATACACTTGGTGAATGGACATCCACGCACATTTTTTTATTGCCAGAGTGAGGAAGCTAGAACATAACCATGTGCAAACTTTTCACAAAAGCATTACCCTTCTAATTGCCATTAATATTTTAACTATTTTGAAATTTCAAAACTCAACTAAGTTAATAGAATTTTTTTTAATTTTATTTTATAGAGGCATGTTTTATTTATTTATTTATTTGTTTGTTTGTTTTGTTTATACAAGCACTGGGTACAGTCAGAAGCGCGGGAGGGTGAGAGAATTCACCAGAGCCAGAGCGGGGAGCAGAGCAGGCAGAAGGACTGAAGTCCACTGCTGAGGGGAGCAGCGGACAGCAGGAGAGGTCTGCGTGCCATGTGGGACCCTCCTCTGGTGGCCGGGGAGCAGCCAGGGATCAACCGGGGCCGCAGAGGCCGCGGGCAGCTTCGCAACCCAGCGCTCAACCGCTGCGCCACCGGGGAGGCCCAAGTTCATAAAATTTTAAGTTATTTGCAAGGCAAGAATTATTTACAATAAATTTTCCTTCAAAATTTACTGTTTCATCACTGAATCTGTAGAAAAATATTCATAAATATAATTGAATAAACCAACAACAGATTAAAATACTCCACTAAGAATACTGACAAATGTTAATTGATTTACTGTGCATATTATATAAGTAATATACTCAAAGGGAAATATTTCCCATAATATTTATAAAATTTTCAATGGATTTGAAAATTTGACATTACAAATCTGTAATGTCACTGAACAACAGTGTCAAATAACAGTTAAATTCCAAATAGTTGATTCTTCTCTCAAACCTTTAGGATTGTTTTCATTTCCCTGCTGTGATCCCTCCATGCAACTTAAAGGAAGGATTCCTTAAACAATTGTAAACCTCCAATTGTGTATTATAACTCATTTAACAATAGGCAATCTGGATATGGAAATCAATTGAGACTACAATAGCATTATAATTATTGAACCAAATTTAATTTTTCAGTAGAATTAGATAAATATACAAACTTAGAAAACATAAAAATGAAGATTTTATGGTATTTCACAAAAGAATATTGGAATAAAAGCAAATGTAAGTGTCAAATACAATTAGAAAGAAAATTGTAAATTCCAGACATTTATATATGCATATAAATACACAAACACACATATGCACACACACAAAGTGAAGTTGTCCAATTTTTATTGGCATGCTCTGTGCATTAATGTAATTTTCAGGTCACTGGCATTATGAGGTTAGGTTTGTTGTTATCGCAGAAACAGGCATAGGATACAGAAAATTAGAAGATAATACATTCACTGCATACATTCCTAGTAATATCATGAACATGTTCTGACAAGTGAGATCACCAATTAGTCAGGAATTTCATTGTATTATGAGCTAAGAATTGGTAACTAACGACCAGTGAGGATATAGTTTACACTTCACTAATTAAATTAATTACCAAGAAATATCTGTATTTAGAATTTTTAGGATCTACCAATAGGTAAACTATTGTTTTTATGGCATAGAAGTTTTTCTCTTAATCGTGACATTTAAAAACACTTTTACATGGCAGCTCAGAATGTCCAGTAATATGACACACTTCAAGATGACTCCCAAAAATAGTCAAGAAAGGGCCTCCCCTGGTGGCGCAGCAGTTGAGCGCTGGGCTGCAAGGCTGCCTGCAGCCTCTGCAGGGCTGGTTCGTTCCCCAGCCACAGACAAGGGTCACACACACACACACACACACACACACACACAAAAAGCAAAAATAGTCAAGAAAATGTTGTGTAGTCTAAGCAGAATTAGGTGACAAGTAGTGATGTTACCATATATCTCTGATTTAGTTACACTTCAGTAGTCTAGAAGTCATAATGTGAGTGTTCTGAACCATGTGTCAGTTAATAACAGTGAAAGGTATGACAAGCATAATCTTGAAAATTTTACGACTTTTATAAAAGAAAACATGTTCCTAGACAGTGGTTGGAAAACATAATTTCTACTACTTCAGATGATATGATTTATGTACCCCAAGACAATGAAACTTCAGGAAGAAAGCTATACTTACCTTATTTTAACTATAACAGAATTATAAATATGATTTAAATCACCCTAAAACATCAGGACCCTTCATGAGAAGGTAGATGTATATTCGGTATGTTTAAAAGGCATATATCATTTGTATGCACATGGTATAGCACATCTTGGAATAGAAATTCCCTTTTGCAACACAAAGGTGTAAAACTTTGAACTAGTATGAGTGTTTTGAGGATAAATAAGTATAATAATTTCCCATATAAAATAACAAGCCATACTTCAGTTTGCTGAGAAAGAACACAAATAGTTTTAGAATTCCTTGAAGGGCAGTCTTACAAAATTCATTTGAATAAAATACATCTTGCAAAATAAAAAGAGTATGTGATTTCATATTCTTCAGTAATATTAATACACAGAGATGACAAAACATGGGAAAATACTGTATAAGTCAGTAGGTTGCAGGGAAAAATGCAGAGATTATACTTGGAATCATTAATCTAGAAAATATCAAAAGTCTGATTGTCTTTCTACCATGTCAGGAGAACATTCAAACTAGCAACTTCTCTCTAAATTATTTTTTTAAAAATAGAACTGTGAAAACAAACATCTTCCTATTCAAAAAGGATGGAAGGAAACAGAACAATTCTGGTTCACTCCCTAGTCAAGCTTGAGACTGGGACAACTTTGGGAAGAATAGGTGGGTAAGGACACCCCAGATTGAAAAGAAGGATCAAGACTTCAATAGTGACATGGGAGGTAATATCAGAAAAAATCTGTGCAGATAATACTGTGATGGTTATGATCAACAGAAGAAGGTAATAGAAACATTTCTTGAAAGATTATTGTCAACTTAGAATAATTTCTTATCTCAACGTGTAGTCTTCAAAAATTAAGACTGTTTCTTAGAGAAGAGTCTCCCAATGAATGACAAGAGTTGATTATATAACACTAAAGGCTATCAGCACATTTTAATATATAAAACAATATATTCTTGCTTTTGCATAGAAAATAACAGTGACTCAATAATTCTCCATGAAATGCATTTTGAAAAATGCCATCTTCTAAATCATAAACATGACAGAATACCCAACCTTTATGGATAATGCTTAGTGGAGGAATTGCAGGAGAACAATCCAGGCCGATAAAGAGAAAACCGCATTGCTGCTTCCCAAAGCACAAGTGAAGAAAGGAAATATCAATAATGAATCCCCTCAAGTCTTGGAGCATTTCTGGAGGAATCACAATGGCTTTACAATTACAATCAAGATCTTGAATTCTCATCATTTTCTCATTTTAACATTGTTTTCAAAGAAACGACACATAGTTTGTTCTTTTTATATGAATTTATGAAACTATAATATTAAACAGTCATTTCTTACCTTTGATTCTTGAACTTTCTTGACTTTTTTCCTGCTGGAATTAAAACAGAAATAGGTCAAGATTTGTAAGGATGTGATCAACACTCATCTAAAGCATCACTATAACTAAGTGCTTGTAAAAGTGTTTTGTTACACATATACTCAGGAGACATTATAACACCAATCTCACCTTAAAAATATATATAGCAAATCTTTCATTAGACTTGTAATCAATCTTAGTGGACATATATTTCTCTAAGAGACCAATACATTATATCAATATGTGTTTATAAATGCATGGTTAATGCATAATAAATAAATGTCTCTCAGGTGCCTTAGCCATTACACTTAACTTCAACAGTTACTGAATGCTGTCTTGAGAATCTTCTTTCAACATCTGTACATTAATCATAAATTGTTGGTAAGAGAAAATGTTTAAGGGCAAACAGTTAAGAATTCACTAAAAAAGCACGAAAAAAAAAAACCATTTCGACTGTGTTTTCTTCATTTTAACTTAGAAGTGGTCCCTGTCTCATTCTCTGAGGCTAAAGTTGACAATAATTCTATTATTTATTTAAAGACTGCTTTAGTTAGACCTATCTTTCGATTTGACATCTTCTTTATTAGTTACCTGGCAACCCTGAAAGAATTAGCTTGCTTTCTTTTTTAAGTACAGACTGTACAATCTATAACTTCTCAATTAATATTGAAGCACAGTTTATATGAAAGTTTCAGATTCTCACACTAAAAATAAATTTGAAATGTGCTTCTGATAGTGATATACATATGTGGAACTGTATGAATGCCAATAAATTTTGATTACATAGTAAAAAATAGGAAGAACTTATTTTCTATAAACATAATTCAGAGTTAAATTTTTTAAATAAAAATGAATGTTGATATTTTAAAAATTCTTTTTAAAAATAATATTTATTCAACAATCTGATGAAATGATATGATTTATTATATTGTAAATTTATATTCTTTTTTTAAAGATTTATTTATTTATTTATACAAGCACTGGGTACAGTCAGAACCACGGGAGGGTGAGAGAATTCACCAGAGCCAGAGGGGAGAGCAGAAGGCAGACTGATGGAGTACACTGCTGAGGGGAGCAGCAGGCAGCAGGAGAGGTCTAAGATTATATTCTTAACTCATGCAGCGCCTGTGTTTGAATTCTATACTCTCCTTTGTTAACTGATTTTCTAGTTATGATTTCTTATTAGAGAATCTTTTGTCCACATAAACTAAAATTAAAATATAGGGCCTCCCTGGTGGCACAAGGAGTTAAGCACCGCACTATGAAGTAATCCTCAGCCTCTGCAGCATGAGTTTGATCCCTGGCCCACCAGGGAGCAACCCACATGGCGGTTGCCCACTGTTCCCCTCAGCAGTGTACCTAGGTCAGTCTGCCTGTTCTGATCCCCTCAGTCTCTGGTGAATCCTCTCCCCCCGCATCTCTGGCCTGTACCCCAGCTCTTGTTTGCATAAATAAATAAATCTTTAAAAAAATAAATAAAATAGGCCCTCCCCTGGTGGCGCAGTGGCTGGGTGCTGGGTTGCAAAGCTGCCCACAGCCTCTGCAGCGCCGGTTCAATTCCTGGCCACCAGCAAGTGTCCCACATGGCACACAGACCTCTCCTGCCCCACCTACTGCTCCCCTCAGCAGTATACTTTGGTCAGTCTGCCTGTTCTATTCCCCGCTCTGGCTCTGGTGAATTCTCTCACCCTCCCGCGCTTCTGACTGTACCCAGTGCTTGTATAAATAAATAAATATTTTAAAAAATAATAATAAATAAATAAATAAAATATAGGTTACATGTTTTGACATATATTATTTTATAATTACAGACTAAACAGACTTATACTTCCTAAAGAAACATTTCCACATTTATCTAGCCAATAATTCTTTCAAAATATGATTTTTTATGTGCCAGATACTGTTCCAAATAAGATGAAAGTGATAAAGCAGAAAAAAATCCTTATAAAACATATTGCATAAATGACAATAAGTTATATTTCAGAGAGACTGCAATTTTATCCTATGTCTACAAGGATAAATTAAATTTTGAATACAATTCATATCTTTCTTCCATATACCTCGCACATTTGGTGATACTGTATAGTCTTCAGTCTATAAGGGTCATCCTTTCCTAAAGACTCTCAAAATTATATCTCTGGCCAGTCCTCATCATTGACCTTCAAACTCCTATATTCAACTGTATTTTTGACATATCTACTTGGATATCTAATCACAACCTACTTGCGATGACCAAAATGAACTTCTGAGCTTCCCTAACTTCATCTTTCTTCTTTAGTTGATTCCCTCATCTATTCTCCTTCCTATGCTCAGACCCTTAAAGTCATTATTGTCTACTATATCTTTTACGAGATAAAGAACATGCTATTTTTTAATTTGTTTTTTTTTTAACCCCTTGGCTTTGAATTTAGTTTGAATACCTATGAGGATGCAGTATAAACAGATAGCTAAAATATCTGGAAATCATGGAAGATATCTCAACAGGAGATTAACATTTAGAAATCACCAACTTATGTATAAATCATCAGCACTTACTCTGGAAAATATATGAGAATACAGTTGAATGATCACATTGTATTAGTTTTAGCTGTACAACATAAAGATCTGATATTTATACACACTGCTAAATGATCACCACAATATGTCTGGTTACCATTTATCACCATATACAGCGTTAAACTTTTTTTGTGTGTGTGGGACCCTCCCCGGCGGCCGGGGAATGAACCAGCGCTGCAGAGGCTGAGGGCGTCCAACCGCTGTGCCACTAGGGGAGGCCCACAGCTTTAAACTTTTTAATTATGATATAAGCTTTTAACATTTATCAATTTCATATGTGCCACTGAGTATTATTAACAATATTTACTATGCTGTATATTATCTCCCCATGTTTTATTTAGTCTATAACTGGGAGTTATACATTTGATCATGTCCTATTTTGTCCTGCCCCTAAACCTCCTTCTTCTCTGGTAACCATGACCACAGCATAAAATCAATAAATACAGAGAATAGATTGATGGTTAATTTTAACAATTTAATGTATGCATTATAGATACTATTCCACTGTGAAAAATATCCAGCATAAATTTGAAAGTATTTAAAAGACATGCCTATTTAGTTTTTGAAATATTATTTATGATATTTTCCTACAAAAGGGGAATAACATTTTCTAAATTCAATGAAAAAATAATACATATCCTAAAGTTTTATCCATTTATATCAATTTTTAAAGAAATCTGAAATATATTGGAATATATTAATCTTTTTATACTCATGTTACCAAATTAATAGGGAATAGACATAATAAACTATTCACTCATTGAGTACAAGTTTGTTTTGCATATGCGCTGTCATTACTGCATTACAAGATAGAGATTAACTCTGGAAAACATACAGTTCTGATTTTAAAAGTTTGCAAACTACTCAGAGAGACACATAGCTATCAGTTATAAAACAATGATAAAAAAATTATGAACTGATGTGGAAACAGGTATGGGGGAGCAAGTGTATATGCTGAGGATGGGGGAAGGGGAAGTACATAGTGAAAGTGTTTGAGCTAAGAATTAAAGCATGGTAGGGACCTCCCTAGTGTTGCAAGGGATTAAGTCGCAACACTATGAAGCTATGGACAGCCACTGCAGCACAAGTTCGATCCCTGGCCAGGGAGGTGAACCACATGGCCCAGCAGACCTCTTCTGCCTTGCCCGCTGCTCCCCTCAGCAGTGTGTTTCAGTAAATCTGCTTGTTCTGCTCCCACTCTGTCTGGCAAATCCTCTCACCCCTCCCCCACACCTCTGGCCTGTACCCCAGTTATTGTATGCATAAATAAATTAAAAAAAAAAGAATTAAAGCATGGCAAAATAATTTGCTTGAGGAAAAGAGCATTAAGCTTTGCAAAGACACAGAATTATAAAATATGTAATCCTTTGGGAGGAACTGTGAATAATTAAGAATAGCTCAACTACATACTTATTTAGGGATGAGGGTTATATAAAAATAGATTCAAGAACATTCTCTTTAACAAAAGAAAATATATGCCCAGTTAACTATTATAGCTGAAGTTATTTGGTAAAGAGCCATATAAATGAAATAAACATAACAATTATTTTAACAGTTTTCATAGTGTGTTTTTGGAGTGTGAAAAATAATGATGATTTTTCTAACACCAATCACTAAAGGATTTAGAATAGAAATATAAATCACTAATTAATTAATGACTGACATGAAAATTAGTGTTTATATGATATAAAATGCAGATATTCATATTAGAATTATTTCCATTTTATGCTTATCATTCAATGTATTTGGATTGTAATTTATTATCTGTAAATGAACTACATGTAATTTTTACAGGAATCTAATGATTTGATTTTTAAATTTCCAGTGGTCTGGAGTATAGTATGCTTTTTTCTAGCAATATATATTTTACCTAGACTACCAATAAATAATATTTATTATTGAGAATATATTGCATACAAAAAATAATCTATACCTATAATGTAAAAGATATATTTATAGCCAGTCATCTCAGGTGAACCTAAAATAATATAAGGTACTCTAGGCACAGGCAACCATGGGCTTGATGGTGAAGATAAGCACAACAGAAGTCAATAGCATGGAGTCTAAGCAGAAACACGCTCAATTCCAGTGCCAGAAAACAGGTCATTGCTTATAAGTGTCTATAAATGCTGAGTCTTGGATAATAAAAACAATAAGAACAAACCACATAGTTTTTCTTACTATGTGAAAAGCAAATTTTAAGTCCTGCACACACACACACACACACACACACACACATAATTTATATATACATATGCACACACATATAAAGGACTTATATATATAAGGATATATATATATATATGTCTAAGTCATATATATGTGACTTAGTCACACACACACACACACACACACATATATCTCCTTATATATATATGACTTAGATTCTGGAGTCCTTCTGTTGTCCTTTATTCTCTGTGAGAGAATGATACAACCACAATGAGAATCAGTGGGATTCT